GGGATGTCAGCACTGTGCCACAGCATCACCCCGCTCTCCTGCACCCCACCCATGGAGAGGCCCCCTGTCCTGGCATGTGTGTCTTTGTGGGGGGTCTCTGACCTCAGACAGAGCCCCCAGGCACAGCAGGAGCTTCAGCAGAAGATGTAAAGCCCAAACTCTGGCCACACAAAGGCACCCGACATCTCCCAAGTCAACAGGAGTCTGGTCACCAGCTCCAAAGGGAGCAAACCTCAGTGATGGGGTGAACACCACCAGCCTCTCCACACCTCCAACGAGACAGGGCATCTCCACACTCCCCCACAGCACTGATGCTGGTTTTTCCCCAAAAAGAGGAGGCCCTGCAGCCTCCATCAGGTGTACGGGACCTCAGCTGTGTCAGGGGGGCAGCCGAGGTGAGACCAGCCCCCGCCACTCACCACTCGCCCACCTCGGGTCCTGTCTCCTCGGCATGGCCTCTGTGGGTCCATCCACAGAGGTCCTCCAGAAGGTCAACCCAGTTCAACTGGAACTGCCCTTTTAAAGTACATTAGCTCAATGGCCCACAAGCATAGTGCTGACAGGCTCATTCAGAAAGAGAGAGGCCCCAGTTCGGCTTCACTTAAATCCACCTTAACTGAATTAAGGCCACTAACTGAGAAAGAGACCATCTGAAAAGTGATTTAAGGCAACTGGATCAATCGTTTACAAAGTAGCTCTGGTTAACTCTCCTCACTGTCCTTCTGTGGAAGGGTCCTTAATTTTATAATGTGTACGAAACACTCGGTGAGCCTCAGATAACGTTCAGAGGATCAGCAGAAGGGAAATAATTATCAAGTTAGCTCCAATTAATTCTATTAAGTTGTTTAGAAAATGAGCACAAATCTCCCAGAGCTAAGCCTCAGGGCTACCAAGCCCAGCAGTCCTACAGACTTCAAAGGAAATATTTACTTATATCAGCTGAGTGAGAATCTTGTTCAAGGTTTAAAAAAACAACCCAAACCCCAAGATAACTGTGCATTTCATGCTCCATCCTCAGCATTCACCCATCCCTCTGGAGGCTCCCCAACCCCACAGCCCTGCACTGCACCTGGGAACACGGCCCCGGGCACGGGGGTGCCACGCTGCTGCCCACCAGCCCAGCCCAGGGACTGGGTGCACGCTGTCACCCCGTCCCAAGGGGAACGTGCTGCCCCAGCTCGAGCGCACGCTGCGCTGTGACCGGAACGCTGCAAAGTGATGACACCAAACGCAAGCTCTTGATGGACAGAGAAGCTGGGCAGCGTGCTGCAGAGCGAGAGAACAAGGAGCATGGCTGGTGGGAAAGCAAACAGGACAGTGAGAGTTCCTCCTTTCTGCAGTCATCATTAATTATCACACTGAAAGCAGCTGATTTGACACAGAAGAGCCTGCCAAACCCTGTGGCACATGAGGTGCTTCCATCCTGGGCAGTGGTCTGCCCAGCAGCTGCACCCCTTGCCTGGGCACCACTGACTGTCCCACAGCTGCTGCTGCTGCCAGAGGGTGGCACAAAGCAAACCACCTGGAGCTGCTGGAACAGGGGACACTGCACAGCCTGTCCCCAGTGCTCCCAGCCCAAACCACAGCTGTGTGGAGACATCCACAGGGACTGGGCCCAAGCTACATGGTCCCCAAGAGGCTGGAGAACCATGAAGGGATCATTCTCCAAGATGTTCCCAGGTCTGGAATAACCTGACTGACACCTGCCAGCAGTAGGGAGGGGGGACCTGCAGGATACACTGGAGGCCACACGAATTTAACGAGCACCATGGAACTGGTGGCCTCATGGGATGCCGATGGTGTTGCGTGGTTGGAGGCTCATGTTGAGATTAGACAAACATTCTGAGGTCCCAGCTACAAAGAGCCAGTAACAAACCTGAAGCATTTCTCTCCAAACACTGAGCATCGGTCAAATTCTGATTTGGCAAATCCAGTTTTCTCCTCTTAAGCTCCTTACGGAGCATCAGATGGAGATAATGCGCTTCCCTCCCGAGCTGAGAGCTGCCAGAGCATTTCGGTGCTGGATCGAACATTTCTGTCTGTTGTTTCAGAGAAACACGGTTTGTGGAAGGAGGCAGGACCTGTCTGTCCGTGGAAGGAGGCAGTGCCTGTCTGTCCGTGGAAGGAGGCAGTGCCTGCCTGTCCGTGGAAGGAGGCAGTGCCTGTCTGTCTGTGGAAGGAGGCAGGACCTGTCTGTCCGTGGAGGGAGGCAGGGCCTGTCTGTCTGTGGAGGGGGGCCGGG